GTTTTTGGGAAAGACGGGGGGGGGGGATACGATCCAATTTCAGGATCCCCTGCAGGAAGGAAGGGGTGGCCAGAGCTATCAGCCATAAGAATATTTCAGCCATAAAAATATTTCAAGAGTATTAGGCCCAACTGATACCCTTACTCCAAGGGGCAAACTCTAGACCCAAGATCCACAGGCCCAAGGTTGATGGGGCCTAAAGAAGGAGTGGGAACATTCCCAAGGCTGCTGGTTAGTACAGAGCCTCAAACTTATGTCTGGTTTGGGCAGATGACACTGCTAAGATCAAAGAGAGAGAGGTTTGAGAGCATGTGGAACTCAGCACCGCTTCTGGGTTCAGATCTTCCTGGTGTTAAAGGCTTCAAGCTATTTTGTCCCTACTGAGCCTCAATTTATCTGTGAAATGAGGACATACCTGGGCATGCTATAAGCACAGGAGACAGCAAAGTGCCAACCACACAGTGGTACTTGCATGTGGTAACCATGACTTTTGCCATGAGTCAGCCTATCTGAGGTTGGGATCATTCATGTCTCTCTTCCCTTTTCCTGCTCTTTTACTCCAGCTGCCCTGTGAGCTACAGGACATGGTTCGGAAACATCTGCACAGTGGTCAAGAGGCTGCCAGCCCAGACCCTGCCCCCAGCCTGGCACCAGGGACTGTCGTACCCACCTCAGTCATTGCCCGGGTGTTGGAGAAGCCAGAGTCTCTACTGCTCAATTCAGCCCAGTCAGGCAGTGCTGGGCGCCCCTTGGCTGAGGATGTCTTTGTACATGTAGACATGAGTGGGGGTGCCCCAGGTGACCTAGCCAGTCCCCCAGTCCCTGGCAGCCCCATTCCCCAACCCAATGGGGAGTGCCACTCTTTGAGCACTGCTGGGGGCTCCCCAGATGAGGAGGTATCTCTGCCCGCCTTTGAGAAGCTGAGCCCCTACCCCACCCCGTCTCCACCACACCCTCTGTATCCTGGCCGAAAGGTAATAGAGTTCTCTGAGGATAAGGTGCGAATCCCCCGCAATAGCCCCCTGCCCAACTGCACTTATGCTACCCGCCAGGCCATTTCCCTGAGCCTGGTGGAGGAGGGGAGTGAGCGGGCCCGTCCTAGCCCAGTGCCCAGCAGCCCTGCCTCAGCCCAGGCCTCACCCCATCACCAGCCCAGCCCAGCCCCAACACTCAGCACCGCAGCCAGCTCTGCCAGCTCTGAGGAGGACCTGCTGGCCAGCTGGCAGCGGGCATTTGTGGACCGCACTCCACCACCGGCCGCTGTGGCCCAGCGAACAGCCTTTGGACATGATGCACTCCCTGAGCTGCAGCGCCATTTTGCTCTCAGCCCCACTGACAGAGATGAGGAGGTTCAGGCCCCTTCTTCCCCACCCAGTGAGAGTGGGCTTTTGCTGCCAAGAGAACCTGACTCTGACCTTCCCAGGGAGGAAGAAGAGGAAGAGCTGAACCTGCCCATCAGCCCCGAAGAAGAACAACAGAGCCTGCTGCCCAGTGATAGTGGGACAGAGAAGGGGCCTGGTATTTCCCACACTGAGGGCAGGACCTGGGCACTTCCCAGCTCCAGCCGCCCTCAGCGCAGCCCCAAGAGGATGGGGGTGCACCACCTGCACCGCAAGGACAGCTTGACCCAGGCCCAGGAGCAGGGCAACCTGCTCAACTAGGGCCCCTGCTTGCCTTCCTGCCACTGCTACACTGGGACTGCAAGGAAACCCGATCCTTGCAGCTCACTGTCCCCTACCGAGCCCAAGCCCTTGAACTTGCGTCCCTCTAGGCCTGCACAGCTCTGTTCCCTGTGCAGGGAGGGTCAGGCGGTGGGCCACACCAGGCCTTTCAGCCACATTGGCTGACTGGCACCAGCTTGCCTCATGGTTTCCCCCTTTTCTTCTTGAAATATTTATTCTCCAAAGGTAACATGCAGCCAGGGCTCAAGACCTTTCTTCAGATCAGTCCAGCCCAAATCGGGCTGTTCTGGGAAGCTGAGCACATCAGTGTCCAGCTTTTCACATCAGTGTTCACCCTCCACCTTCCTTTCAGAGCCATGAGGTGTTTGCTTTGTTTTGTTTTTTGATGGGAGGGTATCATTGGGATTATTAATCTCTAATTTCTATTTTCTACTAACCTTTCTATTTTCCACCTGTTTCCCTCTCTCCCCAAATCCTCTGCACAAGCTGTTGCCTTCACAGGGCCTGGCACAGCATGCCCTTGGGTGAGGGAGAAGGCTGACTCAGGGCTCTCAGCAGTTTCCTTCCTCCCTCTGGAAGGGAGTAGAGGGTGGGACTCAGGGGCCTCAAGCTGGGCTCTAGGTGAGGCCTGGCCCCCCTCCCAATCTTGGCTCTAGACTGTTACTCCCAGCTTTGGGAAATTTTCACATCAATGACTATTTTAAAATAAAACTATTTTACTGTTATGGACTAATTTGTCTATTAATGACCATTCTGCTCCCCGTTCTTGAGTATTCCCAGTCCCTGTGATGTCCTACTCTTTGCTAGTGATTCTCCCTTGCTCCACTCTGCCTGGCCTTCCCTGCGCTCAGAGCATCAGGCAGTGGGAGAGGATGCACCTTAAGGGAACTTGATGGGGCCCCCGAGTCTCCCCTTGAGGTAGAGTCCAGCCCAGCTCTGGAGGTAAGCTGTGTACCTTAGTTATATCCTTATAGGGCCTGTGTAAGGTGTCACCTCAGGATGGTAGGTCCTAGAAGCTGGAGGCCTGAGCCAGAGGGGTTTGATACATTTGGGGCCAGAGGACGCTTTGGCTGTGGGATGGCACTGCCCCCTAGTGGTGCTTAGTGGTACCTCCGTTTTCTCCCCTACTGCCAGACCCCAGTGACCACAGCCACACGCCAGGTTGTAAAGTTCATAAAATCTCTTCCGAGCCAGCGGGCTGCAGCCAGAGCTGCCAGCAGGTGCAGAGCCACTACTTTGGGTTCAAGTGCCCCCAAGGCTGTTGCTCATTCACAGCTTCCAGACCCTCCCATCACACTGCCACGAGCTGTCAGAGCCCCAGGCAACCCCCCTCCCTCCCAAGCCCCAGGCCTGATCCTGGTATCGGGCTAGGTGCTGGGGACAGACAAATGTAATGATGTGCAGAAGCCAAAGTGGAGAGTCACATTTCGGTCTCAGCCAACAGACTGTCCCCTAGTCCTGACGTCATTAGCACCATCTGAGAGCTGGGATCTGTGGAAGGCAGAGGGGTGTTCAGACAACAATTTGTTCCTGCAATAGGCACTACAAATAGGAAAAAAAAAGTAGATTTCTCACACCCATCCTCCCAGGTCCCAAGCCTCTTCAGACCTGGCTCCAATCAACCCACAGGGCTCTTACCACTGGGGCACATCCAGGAGCTGCTTCCCCTCTGGTGGGCAGCAGGCTCCCGCCCCCTCTCTCGTTCCTGGGTGTTATCAGGCCCTCCTGCCACCTCCTCCTCCTCCTCTCCCTCAGAAAGGAGGTCACAGATCTGCTGCTGCAGCTCTGGGCTAATGCTGTTCTCAGCCAACACCAGGCTCCGCAAAGCCGTGGGGTAGTTTTCTACCATGTCCAGCAGGGTCTGGGGTAGGAAAGAGTGTGGAAAAGGGTAAACTCAGTCAATGTGCTTCCCTGACTCCAACCTGCCACCCCTTCTGAATGTCCGCAGACACCCTGGCTCACTTCCACCCCGACCCCTGGCCTTCCCCAAGCATGAAGATGTCTTACCTGAGCCGACTGGTTGGTGAGCCCTGTGCTCTCCAAGTCTAGGACCTCTAAGGTGCGACTGGAGGCCACAGCTACAGCCAGCATCCCTGCCACATGGTCACCTGGGGAAACAGCACACGTGCACACACATGTACTCACCTGCATTCATGAACAGGCCTGCTAACCCTTCCTCCCACACAGCCTCCCCACTGCCCTAACAACCTTAGATCCCACCCCAGGCCAGGAAACGCTGACAATTGGTAGATGGCCAGGAGGAGAGCATTGTGATTGGTGAGTGAATGCATGAAGCAAGGCAGGAGTGGTGATGGATGTTTTGATCTACCTGTTGGTCATCTATCTAGTCCTGCACACAGGAGTCTCCTCTATTACCTCTCAGACCCCCTCCATCTCCCCTCCCCTGTGTGGGGGTTACCATGGCAACTGATGGTCCCAGGTTCTTGGATGGGGGTGGGGTAGTGAGAATCTAAGGAGGTTTTCTTGAGCCTCACCCAGGGGGTTGTAGTCCAAATTGAGGACGCGGACCTGGGAGCTGTGGGCCACAGCAATGGCGAGGCGGCTCCAGCCCTTAGGGGTGATGCCAGGGTTGGCACTCAGCGTTAACTCCTTCAAACCTGGGCAACATCATAAGGAGAAGCCAGGATGGAGGTCAGGCCTTCTTTAAGCTCTTATCCTGCCCTAGATTTCTGGGGTGTCCTCCCTAGTGGCTGGGAGTTGCCCCACTCCCACTACAGAACTCCAGTGCCATTAGAGACCCTGCCTTCCCCGCCCACCAGAACTGGATTCCAGATTCTCCATCCTGCTCAACCCCTAATCCTCCTTCCTGAGAGGTTTTAAAACACGTTCTCACCCACAGTGTCAGAGCCCTCAGCTCTGGGCCATGACCCCTGCCCTCTGCATTTAGCTTTTCATCAAGGTTACACCAGCCCATGCCCTTAGCAGGGCCCTGCTCACCAGACTTGGCCCCGTCTGGGGGGAGGAGGCCACAGATGAGGTTGATGGCTTCATCACCCAGCATGCAGTCCCCCAGGTCCAGAGCCACAAGGGCAGGGTGGAGGGCCAGGGCTGGGTTCAGCAAGGCCAACCCCGCATCTGTCAGGGGGCTCCCATGCAGGCTGGGGGGTGAGACCAGAGAGCAGAGGTTACCACAGTCCTCGGCCCTACCTGTAGGGAAAAGGGGTGAGCCCTAGAGGTGAGGAGGGTACTCAGTCACAGCACTGAAGAGAGGCCTTGGGAAGGGAGAAAGAAAATTCTAGATTCTAAAGGAATACAGGTAGAAGGGAAATTCGTTTTCCTTTCTGGTGCAGAGACTGGGACCCAGGACAGAGCACAGAGAAGGGGGTGGATGGTGGGTTAGGATTCCTCAGTAGGCAGAATGNGGAGTCTCCTCTATTACCTCTCAGACCCCCTCCATCTCCCCTCCCCTGTGTGGGGGTTACCATGGCAACTGATGGTCCCAGGTTCTTGGATGGGGGTGGGGTAGTGAGAATCTAAGGAGGTTTTCTTGAGCCTCACCCAGGGGGTTGTAGTCCAAATTGAGGACGCGGACCTGGGAGCTGTGGGCCACAGCAATGGCGAGGCGGCTCCAGCCCTTAGGGGTGATGCCAGGGTTGGCACTCAGCGTTAACTCCTTCAAACCTGGGCAACATCATAAGGAGAAGCCAGGATGGAGGTCAGGCCTTCTTTAAGCTCTTATCCTGCCCTAGATTTCTGGGGTGTCCTCCCTAGTGGCTGGGAGTTGCCCCACTCCCACTACAGAACTCCAGTGCCATTAGAGACCCTGCCTTCCCCGCCCACCAGAACTGGATTCCAGATTCTCCATCCTGCTCAACCCCTAATCCTCCTTCCTGAGAGGTTTTAAAACACGTTCTCACCCACAGTGTCAGAGCCCTCAGCTCTGGGCCATGACCCCTGCCCTCTGCATTTAGCTTTTCATCAAGGTTACACCAGCCCATGCCCTTAGCAGGGCCCTGCTCACCAGACTTGGCCCCGTCTGGGGGGAGGAGGCCACAGATGAGGTTGATGGCTTCATCACCCAGCATGCAGTCCCCCAGGTCCAGAGCCACAAGGGCAGGGTGGAGGGCCAGGGCTGGGTTCAGCAAGGCCAACCCCGCATCTGTCAGGGGGCTCCCATGCAGGCTGGGGGGTGAGACCAGAGAGCAGAGGTTACCACAGTCCTCGGCCCTACCTGTAGGGAAAAGGGGTGAGCCCTAGAGGTGAGGAGGGTACTCAGTCACAGCACTGAAGAGAGGCCTTGGGAAGGGAGAAAGAAAATTCTAGATTCTAAAGGAATACAGGTAGAAGGGAAATTCGTTTTCCTTTCTGGTGCAGAGACTGGGACCCAGGACAGAGCACAGAGAAGGGGGTGGATGGTGGGTTAGGATTCCTCAGTAGGCAGAATGGAGGGGCAGGAGTCTAGTCCCCTGGGCAGTGTTCCTTTTGGGAACTGAGGAGCTGCCACCAGAAGCCAAGGCGGGTGATTAGGCGAGAGGTGCACGCGCCCTATCAGGAAGGGCTGTATCCTGTCTCCTTTGGGGTGGGGCAGAGCCCAGCGGGAAGGATGTGCCGGCAGGGTGTTGCGGAGGCATGGGCGGAGGGATGCGGGGTGCGTGTAAGGGCAGGACAGAGGAAAGGAGGGTGGAGGAAGAGGAGGTGGCAGGGAGTTCGAGAAGGGACCCCTTGGGAGGAAGCGCACTCACAAGAGGGACTGGATGGAGCGGTTGGTCCGCAGCGCCTCCGCAAGCTGCTTGATGCGGCTGGGGCTGGACACGACGCCCAGGTTAAGGTTGAGCTGCGCCAGGGACGTGGCTCCGGCCAGGGCCCGGCAGATGCGACCGAAGTCGCGGTCGCAGAGGCGGCAGCCGCGCAGAGAGAGCAGGCGCACGGCGTTGTCGCGCAGGCCGCGGCAGATGTCCCGCACCTCGGCGCCTGACAGCGGCTCCCCTGAAATCTGGATGGAGCTGGGCAGCATCGTGCCTACGGCTGG